TTGAAAGGACATATATTATTTGTAAATATTTTTTTTAATACAGCAGTTATTAAGAAATTAAATTAAAAGCCTGAAGTAAAGTACAAACGAATATTAAAAAGTGATAAATTTATAAAAAACATATTATTTTAAACCTTTATTAAAGAATACAGTTGTTATTAAGAAAACACAAGAAATTAGCTATTAATGTGAAATTAATTTTATCCCATACAAAAAAATAAAATTAAAATAAATAAAAGTTATCAACAAATAAAACGAAAACCAATTAAAACAGAGAGAAAATTTTCTTCACAAATTAAAACAGAATTTTCCTTATAAAAACTTGTTTATTGATTGTTCAAGCTATAGTGGTTATAGCTGTCATAAGCTGTAGTGGTCCATTCTAAACAACTTCTTSGGAGATTATGCCGTTGCTTTGAACAATAATCCATGCTAAAGTCGCGTGAATATATCCTGTAGTATAAAAAGTTCGCTAAGAAACTGGAATTTGAGCAGATAGTGTGTATGACAGCTGTATTCTTAAGTTGTCCTAACTGATTTGCTCGGATACAATAAGCTATGAGAAGTTTCGTGCCGACATCTTGTTAAATAAAAAGTTTTCCATACAAAAGCTTCGTTTGGTCCGATATCAGCAGTAGCAAAAAATCTGCAGCTTCTTGGGAAGAAATAAACGCGTTAGGAATTTCAGATCGAAATCTCAAAAATCAATTAGTTCGCATATATATAGACAGCTATACGGACAAGCCTTACTCAGCTCGTCACACTAATTTATATTCACAATACTATGAGCAAAAAATAGTAAGACTTTTTTCATAGTTTAAAAATTGTTAATTTATTCTTCAAAATCTATGACCTACCCCTCAAAGTAAATAGGCGAATAAGGGTGTCAGCGGCTGATATTGGTTAAGAATGCATGCAGTGACGGTTCCTTATTGTGGTGCAAAAATCAAGAGTTGTCGGCCCATAATTGCAGCCTCTTTTTACGAATAGCTTCGSGCAAACGACGCATAAGACTCAATAGTAGTCSTTGTTGACAGTTTGGTCAATCGGCAGGCWTTCGGAGTGTGCCACAACTGTGAGCATAAATTCTAAACTCATCGCCTATAATAATAATAAGTTTMATGATATCCCGGTAGTCGGAAAGTATTGTTTAAGAGACGTKAAGTCTACGCTTTTCGAAAAAACTGCTTCTTTGTCGTCAACGCGTTCTCAATCCTCTTTGAATAATTATCAATAACACTTACTCGCGAGAAACAATTATCACTGAAGGCTTTCTCAACATTCTGAACGTTTTGGCGCGTTTTGGAAATTTGATTTCGCACATAACATTTAAATTCTCTGTGGATTTCACTCATCGCAAAAATCCAACGTATCTTCCGAGTATTACAACCTTCGTGGCACGGTATACCATATTATGGTTCGCTGTATAAAAACAAAAAAAAAATAGATAATGATATTTTCTGTCGGTTGCAACCACTAATCCATTTTTCTTGCGTTCGAATTTTAATTTGAAAAAATTTCAAAAATATTTCAAGCTAACAACTAAATTAAGGGTATATTGTTGAAGAACTGCTGCCAGAAATCTATCTATCTTTGATGATAGTTAATTTACTAAATAGCTGCAGATTCGAAGCTAAACTAAGGCACTAAAATATTTAATTTTTTCTAATTATTTTATTTGAGATGCAAAATAATTGCGAAATCAACGCGGAAGATGCAATTTAAAACCACATACATATTTACGTAGATCAATATATCTAATGCAATATTCGCATATGTGACTAAGTCCAGTATGCAAAACAGTAAGGTTACCAAGTTCCAACCACTCCACTCATAAGCTAAACAACTTAATTTGTGATTTCCAACCGAACTTGTAATGCAAAACCAAAATTCAAACCCTTGGAGATATGATTAGCAGTTGGTGACACGACCATGCATGAGCATTTGGCAACTGGCATATGGACTGCAGCGGCAGTGTGGCACACAAGCCAGTATCCTGTCTCTTATACACATCTAGATGTGTATAAGAGACAGGCACATACAGCGAGCACGAAACTACATAGCCGTGCTGGAACACAGGAGCGCAGGCTCACCAGTCCCTACAATTGGCAGCCGGCTGTGTTGGCTTACAAACACAAACRCAGGCACACACGCACACATATAAACGCTTTTATGTATATTTATCGTATCTTGTATGTAMTCATGTAAGTGCCAATGTTTCGCCAGTTGCATGCGGACACTTTGCGTGAATCCAAMGTGTAGAAATGAATTAGTGAGACGACCGMACTCACCGAAAGCGCACGACAATCACACGCCATGTTTAAGTGTCCATTGTAAGCGGTGAAGTGTAATCAAGTAGCTGGTGTGAAGTGAAATAAGCGTAAACACATTCATTGTAGATAAATGTGAATTAATATTTTACGAAAATTACGAAAAAGAAAAAAATTAGATATATAAAATATTACAACAGAGCAACAGTGGCGCAAATACTGCACAAAGTGTTTCAAAAATTATAAAAAAAAATKTTTTTTTGCAAATAAATTATCATTTTCATTTTAACTTGTTTTTTAGAATTCAAAAGATGGCAAGCGTCAGTTGAAGTGAACAAATTTAAAACGTGTTTAAAACAACAAGAGTAACATAATAAGTAATTTTATTAAAAAGTGTTGAAGTAAATTATTGAAAGCGAACAGTGTTTTATAAAGCWGAAAGAAAGCAAGTGAACGTGGGCGATACTTGCTTTACTTTCACAAAAGCTTTGAAAAATTCCCGTTGTACAACGCCTCAACGCCTGCACCGACACCACCAACAACAGCGYCTTTGGCAAAACTACAGCATCACTAGTCAAATTGTAACGCAGCATCATCAGCAGTTGTCACGATGGCCGATAAAGGAAAGGAAACCCCCAAAAATACGGAACAAAAGAACCAAGTGACTCGCGCCATGCCCGAACAGAGCAATGACTATCGTGTTGTTGTGTTTGGTGCCGGTGGTGTGGGTAAGAGTTCGCTGGTCTTACGTTTTATTAGGGGCACCTTCCGCGAAACGTACATACCGACCATTGAGGACACCTATCGGCAGGTAAATGATTTTTATTTCTAACGTTAAAGAGTGCAAAAATATATATTTTTTTAAATCTGTGACTGTATTAAAATATTTCATATATATAATACAATATAAATATTGTAATAATCTATGAAGTTCTTCCTTAAGGTGTTACGTGGGCTTCGCTTATCGCTTCTTTATCTTTTTTAAATGCTATTATATGTCTAGAATATTTTTTGAAAAGTTTCAAGGCAATCTCATGTAAAAGTGTAGCTAATATAACCTATGAAAGGCCGACCCATYAGACTAGACCGGTCCGCTTTGTGGCGAATTTGACGAAAGAACTGAAGCCGCTTGACTACCAGAATCGTTGTATGTTMGTGAATCGAAAAATTATCTTCAGCAATGAAGCTCACTTCTAGCTGAATGGTTTCGTTAATAAAAAAGATGCGTTATTGGTCAGGCAGCARTCCATACGAACTCCATGAGTAACCATTGCATCCCGAAAAAATKACGGTTTGGTGCGGTTTATGGGCCGGCGTCGTCAATGGGCCGTACTTCTTCCGTGATGATCAAGACCAGCACGTTACTGAGAATGTTAGTCGCTACCGCTCAATGGCAATCGGCGCCACAGCGAACGTCACAATCGATATAATCACGAAAGGGCCCAGTCAATTGGCCACCAAGCCAGCGACTATTGATGAAATTCGTATGAATATCGTACGTGAAATTGCAGCAATACCGGCTGATTTATCCTTGAAAACCGTCGATAATTGGGTTCAGCCATGCAAAATAAATCGAGTTCCATACAAAATGGCATCAAACGTACTTTCACAGGAATTAAACATTTCATTTATGTAAACAGATTTTGTTTTACTTAATAATAAGTACAGCGTTCCGTAACCAAGATGGCCCGATTTTGGAAACACGAATCCTTTATTTGTCTTGCAATGAAATGAAATAAATAGAATCGAACATATTTGTGGCATGTCACCTACAATGTAAATAGATAAGTAATAAATATGTAGATACCAAGTGCAGCCAGGTACTTCTCCACATAATCTTACCAACAGAGTAGAGTCTTCCTCAACCTCCTCCAACCGGCGGGAATGTTCTCTTCACCAGGGCGCGAATCATGAAGGGCTTGTAAAGTTTGGTGGTTTGTTCGTCGATAGAGGACTTTACTTTTCAATTTCTTACTCAATCCAAAGCAGCACCTGTTGGCAAGAGTCATTCTGCGTTGGATTTCAAGGCTGATATTGTTGTCGGTTTTGATGCTGGTACCAAGATAGACGAAATTATCCACGACTTCGATGTTATGACTGTAAACAGTGATGTGAAAGCCAAGTTGCGATGAGTGTTTGTTTGGTGACAGGACATGTGTTGTCCTTGTTCACAAGCAGACTCATACGCTTCGCTTCCTTATCCAGTCTGGAGAAAGCAGAACTAAGGGCGAGTTTGTTGAGGCCAATGATATTTATCATAGGTGTACGCCAGCCTTCTTATAGAACATTGTACATTATCTATTTAGCTCGGCTGCTCGTATTATTTTCTCCAACAGAAGATTGAAGACATCACACGAAAGGGAGTCCCGTTGTCAGAAATCTTGTTTGGTAYGAAACGGCTCGGAGAGCTCCTTTCCGATCCTGAKGGAGCTTTTGGTGTTGCTCAATGTCAGCTTACACAGCCTTATTAGCTTTGCGGGAATACCAAGCTCAGACATAGCCACATAGAGACAGTTCCTTTTTGTGATGTCAAAGTTCCTTTTTACAATTTGCTTAAAGGTATTTTGAAATTATGATTACGCGCTTGGTACATGATGTGTTTAGTCACRTACATCAATATGTATTTACATGTCAATTCAAACAGTTGTCTCAGTTGTCAGTTGATAAATAATTATACGTATAAAAATTGCCATATAAATCAGTATATAACTATCAATGGCTGTGCACAGATCTTGAGTGAAAACATAGAACTTCAACAAGTTGTTTATTTAATTCTTTGTTTTGCTGATTGACTGCCACTTACTCACACACACACTGACACACAAGCAAGCAAAGCTATGAAGCACGCAGCGTTTAACACTCGAATCGATTATCTTCTTTAACGGTGAAATATTGCAAAAGCATGACTGTATACAGTTATATACATATGTATTAACTTAAATACATGCATTTATGTATGTAGCGTGCTGCTGAGTGGGAACCGTCAACCTGGCTCCGAATTGTTCGGTTATAAATAAGCCAGTACACGCAACGTGCACGCGTAGAATTTAATTTAAACCATTTTAATCGGTGCAATCATGCATACGTTTACATGCGGCGTGAAAGAAATACCTCCACACACTAAATATATGAGTATAAGTGATTACAGTAGACACTTGGTCAAGGAACTCTTGATTTTGGAAAGTATTTTTGTTATAAAATAATATAGAAACATAGATATGCTTGCTGGTTCTCATCGCGTTGTTTGATATGAAAAAGCTTCGAATTGGGGTTACCTTGTTCAGTAGGAAAGATAGTTTACGGAGACCTTTATCTTGCTTTTGTATGTCAATTACACGCTACCGTGACACGATTTGAATATATTCAGAAAATACAGCCTTGCCTTGGGCAATAATCCACATCAAATAAGGATATCTCGTGAAATAAAAGTTTTCCACACTAGGACTGGCGTGCGATAGGTCCCTTTTATGGCAGCTATATTATATTATATAATGATCGGCGACTCTGACAAATGAGCAGCTTCTTGGGTAGAAAGAGACGCTGGCAATTCTCCATATCGATATATCAAACACTGAGAGACTAGTTCACGTATATACCCGAGTAAAATAACATTGGGCATTAGGAAAAATTACCCGGAAATYGTAAATAAAAGGTAAAATATTTAATTAYTCATCAATAWGTATTTTGTCGCCTTCAAAGTTATTCCCACCAGATGGCCTTCGGCAACTTCTTCGATCGATTGAAAACGGCTTTCATTCCGATGAATGTTGAGTTGTTTGCATGTCAAACTCAAAAACCCATGTCTCATCGGCAGTTATACTCGTACAAGGTGCATTAAAAAGTAAACTTTTTGAATGTAGCGACCCCTGGTGACGCAATCTATATGCTGACTGGTGTGTTAGAATCTGCTGTCTTTATCGATTGTGCAGTGAAAATTTCATGATATTTCATCGATTCTAAGCGAAGTTTTTGCGTTTTAAGTGTCGGATGTGTTATCGGTGCGAAAATGAGCTTCGAAGAAAAGCCAACATWAAATTTTGTTTTAAAATTGGTAAAACTTTTACCGAARCGTTTTACTTGATGAAACAAGTTTATGGCGATGATTGCCTATCCCGTAGCAGAGTGCACGAGTGGTTTCAACGTTTTCAAAGTGGTCGTGAGGACATAAATGACAAATCACATTTTAACCATTTACCATTCCCCGTATTCACCTAATGTGGCACTGTGCKACTTCTTCCTTTTCGGAAAAATGGATTTGCCCATGAAAGGAAAGCGTTATGCAGACGTAGGGGCCAATCAAATAGCTGGCACCGGTATACTGGCGGCCATACCGATCAATGAGCTAAAATACTCGTTCGACATGCTTTTGGACCGTGCAAAAAGCTGTATTGAAGCAGAAGGAGACTATTATAAATAAAATAAATTGATTTTTACCGAAAAAACCTTTTTTCTTATACCCAAAATATCCACCAAAATCACTCGATCGGACTAGCGAGATATGTCGAGCCCATCTTACTTAAAACACTTGCCTAACGATTTTCAAGCAAAATATCCTACAATTTTTTAATATTTTCTTCAGTTGAAGAGATCGAAGGTCGTCAACGATCTCCCGACCGCCTTTGAAGGCTTTATACCACTCACAGACTTGTGTTTTTGATAAAACTGAATCACTGTAAGCCTTTTCCAATATTCGCAAAAGCAATTTGGTTAGAAATACAAAATTTTAGGCAAATTATTTAATCGATATCTTTATCCATTGTAAAAATCGCAACGCGCTACTGAGGTGTACCGACTTAAGCCGCTAGTGTAAAGGGCAGTCTTACGAACTTAGAAATATATATTTTACAATATCATTTATCCGAGGAATTCAATTACAGTTTCTGGGTGACTTTTGGTCAAAATGTATGACGAACCATTAATTTATATACCTAAATACTTCATATGTAAGGTCTTCGAAGTTTCTTTATGAATTTTACAAACTTCGGGGCAAACCTAATTTTATTCCCCTTTCAGGGTATAAAAACAACCGACTTTAATTTTGGGTTAATTTTATTTAGTGTTTAAAATTTATCAAGTTGAATTAATATGGTTCATAAACTCACCAGATTTTCGTTAAATATAACTTTTTAATAATAGTTCCTTGTTTCGCAGTTGTACTGTACTTACATGAATATAAATACGCAGAAAATTATCAGCGAATGGGCATAATATTATTCATAGATCTGCGTAGGYGAAGCTTTTGTGCGGCATAATAGCAGCGCTACCCAGTAAGCCATAAACAGTGGGACAGCGTGCAATGCGGACTCCGACAGTAGAAGAGCCGTAATGATTACTATTGAATTAAAAGGGATTTTTAACAATTTGATTTGCTTTAAACTCGATTGATCTAAGAGTGAATCAGAAATTGTTATTAATCGCATAGTTTTAATTAAAAAGGTGTAATTAAAGTATTTTTTTTTATAAAAAAAAAAACAAAAACTCGAAGTATTCATCTTAGAATTCAATTATTTAATTGAGTTCTCTTTCAATCAACGTATTTTGTATAAATATTTGCGAAACACACGAATGATCATGAATTTTGTTAAAACTAAACTTTTGTAAAATCTACCTTTTAATACAATATTTTTGGTTTAATCGTAATTTACTAAATATACCCTGAACAGGGCATATTAAATATACGACGAGGCTCGCCATATCCGTCCGTCTGTTTTTCATATATACGTCAACTGTTCCATCAGTTTTTGAGATATCGATCTGAAAATTTTCAAACATCTTTTTCTCAGCAAAAAGGTGCCCATTTGTCTCAATGGCCGATATCGGATCACTACAGCATATAGTTGTTATACAAACTGAGCGATCGGAATCAAGTGCTTGTATGGAAAACCTACGAGAGCTGGAATTTTTATAGATCGCTCCACTATAGCTTACAGCTGCCTTACAAACTGATCGATCCAAATCTAGTTTTGTATGTGATTTTTTGTTTTTTGTGAAGAGTACTCCAGCTTCCATGTAAACGTTCCATGTAACGTTTTTTCTTGTTTTTGTTTTTTTCGGCGTTTTTTGTTTTGTATGAGACACATGGCTGCTTTAATTGTATTAGTTAATTTACTGTAAACAAACAAGCAAACACACCTGTTTGCTTCGATTCGGTTTATTTTTAGCGAACATAAATATTTTGGAACTCCTCCGTTTCTATATAAGGAAAATATGTATTTTTAATTTATATACCATATTATAAATATTTAGAGGGAAATGCAACTGTTCGTTTAAGTAATTACCTTTGAGAGGAAAGTAATTAGGTTTGTGCCTAAAATATGAGCTTGTGATTGCTCATGTGAAATGAAATAGAATAWTATTGGAAACTAATTAGTTGAAAATAAGTATACTTCAATTATAATTGTACATATTTGAATGCGTATTCAATGAGATTACAAAATTTACGCTAAACATTAAACATTTATAAAAACATACCATATCTTTACTCCTTGATATATTTTTTCATCGCATCCGCTCCTGTAAAAGAAGCTGTGGAGGCCAGTCGAATGATGTTATAATCAGAATTTAACTGTATTTATTGTACTTCACATTCAATAAAAGACATTTGAGTTCCCTTAACAATTAGTGTGTCATATCACCTTCATTGTAAAACCATGCATTTGAATTATCTTTGACTGCCCATAATATATTCCTTGGCAACTTCGAAATTGCCTGCTAAGTTGCTGATAACTTCCATTAGAGGTGCCGATAGCAGTTTTGCTTATTAAAGAATTTTTGTATTCTTGAAAAAATTATATCTAAATATATAAGTTGACATCCGGGTGGTTTTCTGCCCGACCCTCCATCAGTAATGAAGATATGGGGATGAAACTTTGTTCTAACTTGGCAGTTAGTACTACCCACCATTAGCATTAAGAAAATATCTAGAAAGTGTTATAACTCTCTGAGGAGAAATCGGTGAAATCATATGATAACCACGCTCACTCCCTATACAATGGTTATATTTAAAACAACATACTAAAGTAAGTCAATAGCTAAATGTATCAGAGTCAATACATTTTACATCCACGATGGCACAAGCTGGACGATGGGCATGGCATCGCCATTTAGGTGAAATCACATATCTCCGGACCTATTTGACCAATTTCAACCAAATTTGGTATAAAGAATTATTTTGATATTTCCTTGTCACAGTGCGAAAATCGGATCACAACCACACCTATTTCCCATATAACATAATTTTAAATTTGATCTGGTTTTTTCACTTAAAATTTAATAAGCAAGGACAGAAATAGTGTCCTAGTTCTTACATCTGCAAATGGATTATAACTGCAATCGGATTATAACTCTCAAGCATTACTATGGCTGATTTTTTATAGAAAATAGCAGTCAATCTGCGAGATATAACAAAGAAACTTAGAGAAAGTGTTTTCCTGTCAAYAATTTGTCCTAATGCCGAAAATTTATAGTACAAGGTGGGTTACAAAGTAAACAGAACTTAGAAAAAACTGAATTCGGAAAATCAATTTGTCATATTCAAAATAATCTCCTTCTGCTTCAATACAGCTTTTTGCACGGTCCAAAGGCATGTCGAACGAGTGTCTTAGCTCGTTGACCGGTATGGCCGCCAGTATGCCGGTGCAAGCCTTTTGAATGGCCCCTACGTCTGCATAACGCTTTCTTTCATGGGCAAATGCATTTTACCGAAAAGGAAGAAGTCGCGCGGTGCCAAATCAGGCAAAAACGGGGAGTGGTTAATGGTTAAAATGTGATTTTTGGTCAAATAATCGGTCACAATGATGTCCTTAAAATGTTGGATTCTGAGCAATTTTTAGTCGTCAGTCAATTTGTGCGGAACAACCCGTGCATACACTTTTCGTTAGCCCAATTGTTCGGTCAAAATGCGATAAATCGATGTTTTTGAGATGTTCAATTACATTTGCATGAATTTAAATGATGATTTCGGCTGTTTTTTGATGAATTCACGCGCAGCTTCGATGAAATTTAGAGTGATCACGGATTTTGATTGGCCCTCTGCCAGCTGAACCATGAGTCTGGTCCATCCGGACACTTGAGAATATGTAGCCGAAAAAGAATTACACCTTTTTAACGGAATCACAATTTCCCCTTATTGCTAAGCCATAATAAATAATGTCAACTTATTGATCATCCTTCCTGTAAGTTTGCCTTTTCCACCACGAATTTTTTGAACTTTTTTCTTTCATTTTTTTAACTTGTTTCAACATTTTTTTTTTTTTTTTTGATACTATCTCGGGATTTTGTGCCCATTCGTTTCTGCATATGTTTAACACATTCTTTTTTGCAACTTCTTGATCACTGTAAGGTGCGGCCTTTAGAATTTCCGAGTACGATTATTGAAAGTTCTAACTGTATATAACCTCTTAATAAAGAAGAAGAACTTTGCCGATATTTTGAAATTAGGATTTTCGATTGAAAATAAGCCTCTGTTATTAAATCAAATTTAGCGGTATATAGCATGTTTGCTTAGTTTACACCAATTATCGAGAAAGCACAAATTTTCTGTAATAAAGAAAAGCTCGATTATTTAAAATTTTCTCTTAAGTTTGAGATTACTTGAAAAATTAAATTTAAGCCTTTTTATTACCTACATTTGCTATTTACATTTTTCCATAGACTTGTAGTTTTTCCGGAAGTCGAGATATTTTACTCTTAAAACGGATAAGAATAATTTTTCCTTTAATTTTTGTGACATACTCTTCTTTACCCCTAATTTTATCTTAGTATAAATTTTTTTTTTCAAAAATTTTCGACCTTGATCAAATGTTTTATTAAATTCTTATTATCGAAGTTAAAATAAATTAAAAACTTAGTCACTATTTCTTGACATCAATCACTATTTCTTTCTTAGCAACACATATTTTTTGGCATTATTTTATTATTGCTCACTAAAAGCAAATACATGAATTGTGCATGGCGTATAAGTAACTTGCAGGCCCATCGCAGACAGCGTGGCGTATGAGTGATATAAATCACAATTCGCTCTTGTAGGTCAGCCAATAACAATGCAAAGTGCTCAATGGAGCAAATTAAGAATTCAAGTGTATTGCCTGCACTTCAGTTATACTCTCGGAGAGCTGCAAAGCTTATTTAAATGACCTTACCAGCGGATGACTAATGCTCATCCATTTATATTATATTAGACATTTATACTGCACTCATTTAACTACTATTATATTTGTATTTGATTATCGGTATATAATTAAAAATGCATTAGTTCATATAAAATACACATCTGCGACATTTTACAATTATAATGCTAAGATATTGAGCTTAAATTACTTTCGAATAAAATAAAAAAACAAGTTCTCAATTACCATTTCGCTCATGTTCACAACTCATTTCCATCAGGTGATTAGTTGCAATAAAAACATTTGCACACTGCAAATAACGGACACAACAGGCTCACACCAATTTCCGGCTATGCAAAGACTGTCGATAACCAAGGGTCACGCGTTCATATTAGTCTACTCGGTGTGCTCCAAGCAGAGTTTAGAGGAGCTGCGACCAATTTGGCAGAATATTAAAGACCTTAAGGTAATTGCCAATAATTGCTACTTTAATTAAGTGCGTCAACCCATACATATTTACATACATATACAAGTATGTGTGCGTGTGTGTGTGTATGCGTAATGCAAATAGCTAATGTCATTTGCGYTAACTTGAAATTTCTCATTTCCAAAAATTTTACCCATGCACAGGGGCCGGACGTTGTCAATATACCGGTAATGTTGGTGGGCAATAAGAACGATGAAAGCACTGAGCTAYGTGAGGTGACACAAGCCGAGGGGCAGGCACAGGCCACCGCCTGGGGCATATCGTTTATGGAGACATCGGCTAAAACCAATCACAACGTCACCGAATTGTTTCAGGTAAGTGCCAAATTGCAAAACGAATGCGTGGAAATATGTGAAATAAGTGTTGTTGTCGGCAGCACAGGCACACAACTGCACGGTTGTCGGTTTATACATACATACATATGAGTGTATGAATGTGTATTCGCTTGCTCTTAGCGTTGCGTGCGTATGTTTTTGGCAATATTGAAAATGAAATTATGCTAATTTGGTCGAAAGACATTATGACACGTGTGTATTTACCCAAACTGTTCATGTATTCGCCTRTATGTAATTGTGTTTGTGTGTATACATTTGTAGGAGTTGCTCAACATGGAAAAGTCGCGTATCGTGTCGCTGCAGTTGGATGTCAAAAAGCATAAGAAGCAGAAGAAGGAGAAGAAGGTCAAAGAGAGTAATGGTGCTATACCGGAAAACGGCGAGGGAGCAGCCGGTGCCAAGGAGAAATGTCAACTCATGTAAGGCTGTCAGCGTGTAGCGCAAAAAGCTTAACGCGTTAACTGCGCTTAGCTGAGGTAACRGTGTTGTCGGAGTTAGTGAATGAATGGCCGCGTTGAAAGCCCAACTTGCGCCTTTCCGAAAATGCAAGTGTTCCTGAACGCGCCAGCGGCATTCGGGCAAGTTTGTTGACAATTATACTCGTTTTGAATTCACTTCAAATTAGCTTTAAAAAGAAAACACTTTTAACTTATACTCAAATGTTACATATTTTAATTATTTATTTATATTTAATAGTAATTTAGGCTAATCAAGTGCATATTACACCATTATTTAAGCATTACAGGTGTATATACCTATACATATATATATACTATATACTGCATATACATAGCTGCATGTAGAGTGCATTTGTAAATTTTCATATATGTTGTTAAGATTTATTAGAGCGTACCAAAGAGATTTTCAGGGGCCATTTCATAATTACATAGAAACACAAAAAACAATTTTTGCACATCGAGTGAAGGAAGTGCATGTAAAGGAAAAATGCGTGAAAATAGATTTAAATCTATACCATATATACTTGCAAAGAAGTCTGCTGGAAAGTTCATAAATATTTTAGTTTTTTAAAGCAAGCTCTCAATGCGTCAAGAAATTAATATAAATACATATATAGACTCATTTCATCGAGTCTTTATTGCAGAGCRCAAGCCGACAAAATTTTAAATTCTGCCCTCTCCAACATAAAAATTAACACTTCAAATAGTTTTTACAAATAAACTTTTTTTTCGAAATTTTTTTTTTAATATTACTATTTTTTAGTTGAAAATTTTCCGAAAAAAATTATTTTCCCAAATATTATTAGATGAAATTTTTTCGAAATTTGATGAAAATTTTCCGAAATTTTTTTTTTACAAATTATTTTTTTAAGTGAAATTTTTCCGAAAAAAATTTACAAAGCTACTGAAAAACTATGCCATCAATTTAAAAGCACTGGAATAATTTTTATGTGAGCCCTATCCGAGAAGAGATTATTCTACAAATTTCTAAATATTTTATTCAATAATTAAATCTCCAAAAAAAATTTGTTTTCAATATTTTATTTAACAATTAATACATTATTATACCAAGAAAATTTTACAATCAATTTTTTTGCTCTACACGTTCATATTATTATATTTTAAGGCATACTTATAGGCGAGATTAAACTTTTTCTTTTTCTGCATACTTGTGACATTTTTAAGTGTAAGCATGAAGAAGTTATTTAGTCAGTTCCTCTCTCTTCATTCATGATATTTTTAAGGCATAAACGTGAGAGTGATATTTGGTCAATTGCTCTCTCTCTCTCCCTTCTCTCTTTATCAAGTGAATATAGTTTAATCTAAACGGAAAAACTTTTCAGTTGTAATAACCGAATCGTGCGGCATTTTTTTTCAATTTGATACTCAAAACTTGTATAAAAATTTTGTAATTTTGACCGAGGTTGCCATATTTATTAGAGTTACTACAAATGCTTGACGCTGCATTCAAAATTGGACTAAGTTTTTAATTTCTGTTACAGCTATAAATTTGCTTCAAATATTTGCGCGTCTATATAGTTTGGAAAAAATTTAAAAAAATGGTCTCAAATTATAGCTTAACTTTTTCAACAAAGCTTTAATGTTGATAAATATGATTTCTTCTAGCAATTTYTAGTTTAGTTTGTTCACTTAAAATCCATCGAAGAACTCACTAACATCAAGACACACACACAATTAAATACATATCAAAGTTTGCTGTTCTTTTTTTCCATCAAATCCTAACTATTGTTTAACTAAAGTCGTTTGAAAATTTCACAACAAAATTTCAATAAAACGGCACTGAAAATACTAGACAAGCATACATACAAACTTATATAAATTTCTRTATACTCGTGCATAATACATATGTACATATATAGTGTGTTGCAGCTTTTCAAACAAAAGAAGAAAATTATACAAAATATTTTATCGATTTTTAACTACCATAATGCTAACTAATGTAGGCAGCTTGATATAATATAACTAAAATGGGATTTTTGTGTATTTTTTATTTTTTTAAATTCGTTTAATTTTTAATTTTTTTATAACTTTTTTTAAATTCCAGATGCTTTTTTCTGGCAGCGTAAAAATACATGCGGAAGAACTTTCGACCAAAAATGCTCTAAAAATATGTTCCTTTTTTTATTTTATTTTTTAATTTCTTCAAGTTTTTAAATTTTTTTTAGTTTTAAAGTTTATTTTAATCAATTTTCATCTAAGAATATTGACTGATTTTTTACGCGCAATTTTCCTGAACCATTGATTTTGAAATTTTCATATTTTTAACCAACGCAACACACTATGTACATATGTATATTTTAAATTTTATTAAAAAAATATATCGCTACACATTGACAAAATCTACAAATATATCTACCTATAACTGTGTCTGTATATATCCGAAACTGTAAACTATATCGCAGCTCGCTAAAGGATAATGAATCTATCTGAGTAAATAGCAAGAAATGTACCGTTGTCTATGTGCGTATTTAAAGCACACACACAGCCATACATACACACATATGGTATTTAATCAATATATATATATATATATATACATATGTACTATGCAATCATATATATCATAATTGATACAAACATATACAATATACATACATATACTTATATATATATATTATATATAAATAGTGGCAAATAATTAACGTACATACAAACCTATATATACATGCTATACCTAAATGAAATGACATAGTTATGCAATTACCAGTACTTACTACAATTACTAACTGCATCTGAAAGCCAAAAATTACTCTAAATAAATGAAAAGAAAACAACAACAAATCGTAAAATATTATTAAATACTTAGCAATAAATTATACATACATACATAAACTAGTACCAACTACCACGCATAGCACATCCTTAAGTATTTTTACACAAACACACACACAAGCATTAATGCACTGGCATTCAGCCAGCAAGCAGAAGAAGTACCAAAGAAAAGTTTAGAAATTAAACAAACAAATTTGCATAGATACACAGTTACGTGCATTTGAATCGGCAATGGGCAAGTAAATGTGTGAACAACGGTGCTAGCAGGCATGAATATACATACATTAGGGTGTCCGGTTATTTTCCAATTTGATATTTACATCCTGAATAGAGTATATTAAGTGTATAAGAAAACGTTTGCGACCCTAAAAAATATATAATATATCTAAATGAACAGCATGATGGATTGAATCGATTTAGCCATTGCCGTCTGTCTACATATCTGTCTGTCTGTTTGTATATACGCGAGCTATTCCCTCAATTTTTGAAATATTGAACTGAAATTATGCACAAGTGTTGCTGCTCATTTGTCGAAATCGCCATTATCGCACCACTATCGGATATAGCTGCCATACAAATTGAACGATCGGTATGAAGTGCTTGTATGGAAACCTTTTTCATTTGGCTAGATATATTAATAAAATTTTGCAAGGGTTTTTGTCTCAGGCAATAATGCAATTTGCAGAGAAATTATTTAGATCCGAGCACTTTAGCATATGGCTGCCATACAAACACCAGAATCGAAAAACAGACCTTGCATGAAAAGCTTTGTGTTTTACAAGATATCTTGGCACAGCTGATTTTCTAAGGCAACGCTACAATATCTGAAGAAATTTTTCAGATCGGACCACTTTATCATATAGTTGTCTACTGAACGATCAGAATCATGTTTCTGTATGTAAACTTCGTTATTTGTGAAGGGTGTTTGAGAGTCGGTGCCACCGAAATTAACTTGTTTTCTTTTTTTTTGCTTTTTGTTTAGCAAACGCAACCTGAAGTTTCAGTTTTTGTCCTAAAAAAATTATCCCCCCTTGTCGACCGATATTCTAGTTAAATATTATCCGCTCTATAAAAAATCCTAGTTGATTTTTTCCATAAACACATTTTTTCAACGTTATGTGTACATCAAATGTGCTGACACCATGTCGTATGAGTAACACAGAGTGTAGAAATCACTAATTCAGTGAAGTAATTTATGCATTCAGTGTTACTCATACGATATGGTGTACTGTATGAATACAATACATTTGATGCATAACTTTAACTGCATATAACTTTTAAAGGAAAGTTTTTATTGAAAAAATAACTTTTTTGTTGAGCTGAAAATTTTGTTTTCAAATATTATAATTTTTAAGTAGCAATTTATTTTATTGTGAGAAAAATTTTAGACAACATATCAAACAAACCCTTGTAAAATGTTTGAGAAAGTAAAATAATTGGTTTAAATTGAAAATAGGGAGCAAATTAACTTTAAATTTTATTTTATTTTTTTTGTCTAAAAACATCACCTTTTTAAATGACTGACACCCTAATGTAAATACATACACATATATACCAACGTTGAATAATTTCGATATTTTTGGATGCACTGCAACTGTTAGCCATTTTCGTATAGCGGGGTGAAAGGGATAAATGTACGTTTAACCTAAATTGAAATTTGCACACATATACATGCCCACACACATGCATAGGGCATGCATATATACGAACTTTATCAACTCAAAGGCTTGAAAAAGAAGTAAAATTAGGTAATTTGTACATGTAACATATAGATTTATTTTTCTAAGCAGCACAGCAACAACAATTTAACCCTACATACACATATACACACACATACAAATATGTAATACATGCGAACAAATTGATTGCTACAAAATACTCAATTATATTTACTAAGTTTAAGCCGGCAACGACTTGCATGCTTAGCCCCCGATAAAATTAATAAATAATTCAAGAGAATTACATACATATACCCTACATACATACATACTTACAAGTATAGTTTTTAATTGTAAGGAAACCAGTAGGTGAATAAAGAAAGCTTTTAAGCTTTTACGGCTCTTATACAGTTAAGTTAGGCGTATCAATAATTTGTGTAAATACGTAAAACAACAACAAAAACAAAGTTAGAAAAGTCAATCGCAAAAATTAAGAAAAACCCTTGTGTAATACTTATTTGCTGAATTAACTATTTAAATGAATATTGAAGGAATAAGACACTTAAATTGAAAAAAAAAAACACGCCTTGTGAGGTAAGAATTGGAGTTTTTAATTAAGAACCGATAAGTACTGTTATGCTATTTTAAGCAGAAACTCAAATTTTATAAATTGTTATTGATTATTTATTTTTTTCAAAAAGCATTTTCATGCAAATACTTGCAAAGCAATTCTTTTTTGTATCTCTTATGAAACATATTGTAGGCAATATGCAATTTTTTTAGCATTTAAGTTAATTAAAGTGGAATAAATTATAAAGGTAAACAATTGAATTGAAATTTGCAAAGCTTTAATTGTTAATATAATACGAAAATTAATTAAAACTAAAAACAAAAACAATACATACATTAATTATACATAATGAATTCTTTATTCTTGAAGAAAACCATTGAATAAATTAATTAATAATAGTAATATTTAAAACTTTTTTTGCGCTAATTTATGCAA